ACCAACCTGACTTAATATAGTATTACAGCGGCCACTCGCACTACTGTCTGGTGGTGTTACTCAAGGGTTCATCCTCGTCTGTAAATCCTTAGCCATATAAGGTAGATGATTCAGTTGAGGTAGAGACGGTAGAGGTGAGGTACTCGGGGTGGTAGGTAATAGTCATCACTTTCATTCGTTAGTTCAAGAGGAAAGTTTCATTGTGGTGGTGGTGGTGGTGGTGGTGGTCAGACAGTCACCACTCTTTGCCTTACTCAAGTTCTCTATGTTAAAAACACTTAATATTTTTACTCCTGAATAAATTGTTAAGATATTCTGGGTAATTCATCAATACTTCTTTCATTGGTTTGTTGTCTTTAGGTTAAGTTATGTTGTTAGGTGAGGTCATGTCAGGTTGATTCGCGTGCATTGTATAGTCAAGACACTCATGAAGACATCTCGGGGAAAGGTTATCATCATTTACTGTGTTTTTTCCTCTTTAGTTCATCCCCCGAGGAGGAGGAGACCTTTTTGTGTGTGAGATAATGATATGTTTAGACCAGTCCTCTCTGACCAGGAACACAACCTTCGCCAAGACCTTCCTGGTGGGTGGGTCCTCTCAGCAAAAGTTTACCTCACCGGACACACACAACGACTCTATCTCGGAAGCTTCCTGTACACAGAGTTCACTGCATCTGTACGTCTTCATAATTGAGAGAAAAGAAGGGAAGAAAAGAAGAGATAGAGAAGAAAAGAAAGGAATAGATAGAGAAGAAAAGAAAATAAGAGATAGAGAAAAAGAAGAGATAGAGAAGAAAAGAAAAGAAAGGAATAGATAGAGAAGAAAAGAAAATAAGAGATAGAGAAAAAGAAGAGATACAGAAGAAAAGAAAAGAAAGGAAAAAAGAAAGGAAAAAAAAAGAGACAGACCAGTTCCTCACAATTACACACGTTGATGGATGTACACAGACCGAGGCTGATTCTTCAACAAGATTCCCTTAAGTGTACAGTATATTACCTCACCAAGTCTCTACCTGCCTCCCTTCCCACATGTTTTTGCTTCACACGAGAATCATAAACATTCATATTTTGTGTCGCTGTTTTCCCGAATAAGAACCTCGCCTGACTGGTGTTTTGCTTCTGCTGGTGGACTGGAACACTTGAGAATAGATTTGTTCCTACTCGTCACATCCTCCAGGTTCTTCAGCAGTTGACCTCCTGAAGGGGACACGTGGTTGGCTCATAAAGAGATCAGTTACCTTTGCATCTTTTACCTTTGTCCAAATCGTACATGGAACCTTTGTCTCATTATGCGTTAGAAGACAAGAACAACAGTAGTATTATCTCCGTGTCCACAGTCTTAAACACTTTAATCCTTTGGTAGTGAAGGTTTAACCCTTTGAGGAGGATGGTTTAACCCTTTGATGGTGATGGTTTGACCCTTTGACGCTGATGGTTTAACCCTTTGATGCTGAGGGTTTAAGTTTAACCCTTTGATGTTGATGGTTTAACCCTTTGATGCTGAGGGCTTAACCCTTTGACGCTGATGGTTTAACCCTTTGATGCTGAGGGTTTAACCCTTTGATGCTGAGGGTTTAACCCTTTGACGCTGATGGTTTAACCTTTGGAGGAGGATGGTTTAACCCTTTGAGGAATACGATTTAACTCGTTGACGACATTGGTTTAACCCATTGAGGAAGATGATTTAACCCTTCAGGCCACCAAAGGGTTAAAAGTTCACATATATTAAAACAATCTTTCTCAGCTAGGTTTGATTCAAGAGTAGAGATTTATTTGTTAATTATTTTAGAGAAATGTTAACAGATCATTGCCAGTTTTCTTGTAAACAATTTTAATCTTACCCAAGGTTACTGAACCACGTTTTATTGTTAAACCAATTATAATATTAAACTGTTTATATTATGTTTTAAGTGTAAGGAAAAATAAACCAGTATCATATTTATGTGCTTCAGTAAGATCACTTTTGAGAGTAGCTTTTAGTTATTGAGTTATCTGATAATGTCTCAGGTGATTTGTCTCAAGATTTATCTCTAAACTGGTCCTGGAAGAATTCCTGGCTTTCTGAGTACCTGGCAGAGTACCTAGAGGAATACCTGGCTTTCTAAGTACCTGGCCCTCTGAGTACCTGGAGGAACTCTTGGCTGAGTACCTGGAGAAATACCTGGTTGAGTACCTGGAGGAATACCTGATTTTCTGAGTCGTTGTGAGCATCAAGACTGAACTTATTACCAGGAAGAATAATCTGCATGGTCCTTGTGAGGTGGAAGAGGAGAGGAGGGGAGGAGGAGGTGTAGGAAGAAGAAGAAGAAGAAAAAGAAGAAGATTATGGAGGAGGAGTAGAAATAATAAGAAGGAGGTGGATTATAAATAAGACAAAGGAGAAGTTAGAAGAAGATTAAGAAAGAGTAAGAAGAGGGGGAAGAAGAAGGAGGAGGAGGAAGCAGAGAGGAGGAGAAGTAGGAAGAATAAGAAGGAAAAGTAGGAAAAGCTTGAAGAAAGGCAGAAACTTCGACTGTGTGAATTAACCAGACGGGCGGGGTTGGCTCGTCTGGGGTGGGGGTGGGGTGGTCAGGCAGGTACACAGGTAGACGGGCCGGAGATAACAGGAACATAACCCCACCTGAAGCTAATTGGAGGTGAATGCTTAATGGGTTTAGACAGACGGCTCGTGCCCACAACCCAGACATATTCAGTGATGAGTTGCTAATGATGGTGGTACCTTGAGAGAGAGAGAGAGAGAGAGAGAGAGAGAGAGAGAGAGAGAGAGAGAGAGAGAGAGAGAGAGAGAGAGAGAGAGAGAGAGAGAGAGAGAGAGAGAGAGAGAGAGAGAGAGTTAAACGTGATTAAGAAAACAAAAACAATCTTCTGTTGGTGTTGTGATTAAGATGTTGTGGGTCAGATATGTACCACCCTGCCCACCCACCGATTCACTTTCCCTGCCGCCCGTCACCATCCACCCATCCCGCCCACACCATTAGGCATACCACACCCTCCCTTGAGCTTGGCAGATCCTATCCTTTACCACTCTGCAGGGAACCAGTAACTGAACTGACGTGT